GACAGTGAGAGTCCGCTTCCCGGGTACTTCTCTTTCGAGATTTATTCGTACCCCCAGCCCGATAGTACAACTCATCGACGTTGTAGTCAGAGCAACCTATCGGCTGTTTACATGAATTCTCAGGTATAACGTGTTCGTCTGTCTGAAGCGTTTTCCTCTGAGTAAACATTGCCTTGTTGGCATCTACAGGAATCACACTTTTGGAATCACAGCCTTGTGAGGGTGAAACCTTAACGGGCTCCTGGTTTTCTGCACGTACCTCCAAGCGGGCTGTTGTAGAAATTAATTTGTTAGGAGGTCGCGTACGACCCCCAGTCTGGATGTTTGCTCGAAGCTCCTTTAACGGTCCCAAGCATTCTTTAATAGGTGCTTTACCTCGATCCTCGGGTAGAGCACCGATGTAATCCTTCAATGGGACTTTAGCTTTGGGGAGACCCACGTTGTCATAGAGCTTCACCGGAAGTGCGAGAGTAGGGTCTGGAGTTGACGAAGGCCGGAGAGCATCGTCGCCTGCTTTTGCCTTAGGCGCTGATTTGGCCTTTGGCATCCAAACTTGCTTAGATCTTGGTGGTTTTTTGGCCACTTTTTCCTTCTGTAATTCCTGTGCATTCCGTACAAGGATCCTCGTCTGCGCTAGCAGTGTGCGGCGCTTGTGGATACGCTCCTCAAGAGTTGAACGGGTTCGTTTGACATGAACCCATTCATTAGTAGGTGATTGGGAGGAGGTTCCCAAAGTTTGTTGCTGGAATACTTTGCGTCTTCTGCGTTTCAGATCCACATTATAACAGATCCCGTCAACAGGCTCCAAAGCCTTGGCAAATTGACGCGCGAGATGTTGACGGCGTCTTTGACGAGCCCTCTTCGTCAACACTGGTGCACTTTCAACGGGCAACTCCTTGACTTTCGAGGAGTTGTCACGAACGTTGGATCTGGTTTCTTTGGAAGCCGGCGGATCGTTAAGAGGTATAACTACAGCAGCGACGACGGAGAGATCGTCTTCTTGGGTCATCAGATCTGAAGACCAGCGGATCTTCCTGGAGGAGGAGGCCTTCCTGCACCTGCAAGGAGAGGCAGATCTGGAGGAGGAGGAGGAGACATACTCCTTGAACTTCTGCTGGTCGAACTCATATTCAACCTCTTCGAGCACCGGGATCTTGATCATCGGCTGCGGCACGACAGCTCCGGCAGCGAAGCTGTTGGCTCCCACTGTGGTCGCCAGTTTGTTTGCGGTGAAAGTTGATGTTTTCATTGTTATCGAATCTATTACAACTTTAGTCGTTACAATAAACTCGAATGAAATAAAAAGTTGATCTTTTTATAAGATCTCCTTACACAATGAAAATAAAAAAAAGTTTACAACTTTATCAAACAAACGCAGAGATCGTTCTTCGGTCTTCTGCTTGCGTGGGTGTCTTTGCCTGTGCCGGGGTTTATCCGTGGACCACCGTCGATCAGATCTGATTACTAAAAAATTAGGCAGAGCTTCGTCTATCCGTAAAAGGGAAAGGCTTGTATTTATAGGCTTGAGGGGTTGCGGAGCGGTTAAAACAATCTTAAGGCCCAAATCTGCCTTAGAGACACCCTAGGGTGTCTCCACTTGATCCGAGACACCCTAGGGTGTCTCGGTTTGGACCGAGACACCCCTAGGGTGTCTCCACTTGATCCGAGACACCCTAGGGTGTCTCGGTTTGGACCGAGACACCCAAGGGTGTCTCGGCCTTAGCCGAGACACCGTAGGGTGTCTCGTTGGTCCGAGACACTCCATCGAGGTGTATTCATCCGCTTCCGCTGTAAATTCTTCGTCCGAACTCGGATTTGAGTGATTCGAAATGCATTAGAAAGCTGACGAGGAGTTCTATCAGCTCCGAGAGTTAGATCATTTGTTGAATGAATGAGATATGAAGGGCATTGTTCCTTTTGTAAACATCACGGGGCTCCTGATTAGCCCGTACCTTCGTTAGTTCACGTAGTTCGTCGATTCACTTCAATCGTTCATCGACATCAATCGAACTCCTGTGAACCGGATAGTGACGTTCATCGTCGTTTCTTAACACTGAGCTGTTCGTGGAGACCTATAGGTAATTTTTGATGCCTACACTACTGATACTGATATATGTTATTAAAGAGTCTGGATGGACTCAGTGTAGTCGACTACTAAGCCTAGTAGTCAACTACTATGTCTGGTACCTGAATTTTTGTTTTGCATCTGTTTGAGATATGTTTGCGTGTTTCGAGCCGCACTTCTTTATACGTAAATTCACGAATAGTGTAGTAGCACACACATTAGTATGCTGAAAGGAATTATGATGTGTTTTGACCCGATTACTTTGACAAAGAGTTTAGTACATATTATACACACACCTTCTAGATACCGTTGATGAGCTTAGTTCAGTACTACTGGGGTAGTGCGTCGATATTCCATTTGTACAGGCCATTGAGTCGGGTTTGGATGCTTTATTTAGTAGTCCGTCCGCACGAGGGTGCGATGAGGCTTGTTAGCCCTGCTTCTAGAATACCTATATGGTAGGTCGTTCTGCACTCATATTACGTACTGAGATCGCGCTGAGACTAATGAGCCGTGTACATTGATTAGGATATCTACAGGGTAGTCCGTTACACATGATAATGCTAAGTATCAAAATCTTGCACGGAGTTATATTGAGATAGTTAAATGATAGCCCGAGTCGTTGGCGGATGCTAGTTATGTTTTTGACTCACTACTGAAATATATGACCCAGAGTAGTTTGCATTTGAAAGTACACGAGATTTGTGCCGGTATTCATTCTATCTTCCAAGTGACAGTGGAAGATATTATGAATACGATATGTTGATGTCTTTACTTTCTTTTACAGCTTTTCTTTATTTTCTTAGTTGGGATCAATAATTAGCTATTCACAATTTGAGACATATGGTATATACATGAGGGTTTTCTTGTTTGGATTATTTCACTCGACATACCAGTCTCGTGTTGTGGATTTTTAATTGTTGATTTCATTTAGATTGTTTACCTTTAGTTCGGTATTAATGTTTAGATATTTACAATTCCGAACATATGGTATATACATGAGGGTTTCTTGTTTAGATTATTTCGCTCGACGTACTACGTCTCGTATTGTAGGTGTCTAAATATTAATTCCATTAGATACGGTGGGAAATAATCTAGATAGACTATGCTTAATAGATAGAGCCTCCACTTTATCTAGCAGCTCTTCCCCTAGGGGCGGATTGAGGTGATCTTGCTATAGCGCTCTAACGTTCTTGTTGTTGTACTTTTTCTTCTAATATTCTTTCAGGTAATTCGGAGTACCGGAGAGTCATAGGATGACGAAGTTCTTGCATAGTCACCATCACATGAGATTTATTAGAGGCTCCACCGTAGTTTTATATTTTTTTCAGACCTTAGAGTTTATTTCATAGTGTGAAGGCAGTGTGTCTTAGTACGATTTTTAGTTGTTTCTTGTCGAGACATATTTATTCATTTTGGATATTAGATGTATTCCAGGTTGTTCATTGAGACATGATTTATTTATGAGATACTTTTTTCTATATCATATCTATTGTAGTTATTTCCTTTCTTTTGCCTGTTTTGTACATGCACTTTATTTTTATTCCACTAGAGGATATTGTTGTGATTGGTAAAACTTTTTGTTGCATAGTGTGAGTGCATGGTAGGTTTGACATCTCTGGATTCACCTTGGACTGCAGCCATGTGCGAAAACAGGGGCATCACATATACTCACGTGAATTAGTTAATGTAAATTTGTGTAAGTCATTAACCAATTGATCGAAAGTACATGATTTTGATATAAACAACGGCTTTGTCACACCTCCTTCATATATGAGCATATTATTCTTGAGATAGTTAATCTTTTCATCATATGAACAAAGAATTATGATTTGATCGTTCATCGTTATCTCTAAAGAGTAAAAAAATCCAATACCAATATTACAAGAAAAACACAAAAAATATTATTTGCCATTAAATTTTCTAATATCGATTTTAGACACCCATAATTTTAACCAAATGTCAACCCTTTATAATACACTAACTTTTATAATTTTCGATAATTTACCCTCTAACTTCATACACAAATTTCTTTAATTTTTCTTCACAAAATTCATAAATATTTCAAAATCTAAATTTAAACAAGTTATTAGCATGAAATAGTGAGAATATATAAAAAAGTAGGAGAATTTTTTTTTTTAAGATTTTACCTAAAATTTGTCGATGCCCTAATTTCCGGTGAACTCTGACAGTGATGGCGGCGGGATTGATCACCGGCGATGATGGTTGGCCAACACGGCGACAGTAGGGGCGGCGGCAGCGGGGTAGCGTTAGGAGAAAGGGTCTAGGGTTTGGTTTGGTAGTGAAGGAGAGTAGAGAGATTAACTTTAGCCGGGTAAACGTGATAAGAAATCGTGTGGACCTTATATAGGCCCTGCCCCAACTCCACGGGACTTCAAACCCCATGAAGTTATAAGCTTCACGGGACTTCAAGTCCCGTGAAGTTTTGGGGCTCCTAATCAACTTGTTAATGTACGCTTAAGCTTCACAGGACTTCAAGTCCCGTGAATTTTTTCAAGTTTTTTCGCCAAATTCGACCCAGTTTCAGCCAGTTGGCTGAAACTGGGTCAAATTTGGCAAATATGTTTGAAATAGGTAGTTTTGGCAATTAAGTTTCTAAACAGATCGTTTTTGAAAATTTATCCTATATTTTAACAAACATGCACAAATCACATAAATTTGGTGCCTATAAGTTAGCAAAGATAACTGAGTAATTGTGAAAATAAAAGATGAAACTTTTTTCACTATCACGTTCATCATTTCTCAGATAATACAGAGACCTGCCCATTAAGATTATTAATAGAGATTGAAGACACACAGGAACCTAAAGATTGAATCAATTTCAAGACTTCAAGCATACGGTAATGCCAAAGTTCTATCACAGGCTGGATATAGCGGTCAAAATTTTCAAGAATTATTTACTTTGAAAATTTCAAACATCAACATATCCTTATCTTATTACAATCAAGCAATGAATAATAGAATTGAGGTTTACACTGAATAAATCTGTCAATTACAGTAAAATCATAATCCAATAGGCCAAATGATCCAAAAGGCAAGAAAGAAAGCTGCGTACTGACAGCTTTCTTGGATCTCCATTAACTATCAAGGATTGCAAAGCCGAAGCAATGAAATAGAGAAATATTGCCCAAATGTCTTTTCATTTTGACTCAACTGCAGGTTCTCCAGATAGTTTGGCTTCTGTGCTGGGCTCCATCTCCAACAACTGCGTCTGCTCTTCTTCATCACCCGCTTCTGCCTTTACTTCAGACTGAACGCTGTTAGGCTTGGTGGTTGACTGCTGATAAAGAACACCACCAGTCATGCATATCAACAACCCAATAGTCCCCACAACTGTCGAATGTTTGTCCCATATCACCAAATTTATGACAACAGTCAATAGCTTGTTCACTATTCCAAGCACAGTGAACCCAGTTGCTGAGATAGCTCGCCTGCACGAGAATCCAAAGAAGGAGATTGCCAGCCCAAACAAGCACGATAACCCCACAGGCAACACCACACTAAAGGAGTACCAATCTGATTCGTCTGAGATCTCATGCTTTATTTTCTTTAGCTCCCCCGTTATGAGCAGCTCAAGTGGAAACAGCATGAGAGCCTCGAGATTGTTGTAGAGAACCAGGCCCCATGTGTTGAGCCCTATGGTCATCACCACATGCTTTATGTACACAAAGTCTATCGACATGCTTATAAGATAAGCGAGAGCCCAACTGTAGGCTGTCAATGTGAACTGATAATCTGTGAGAACGTAGATTATGCTGCCTGCAAAGATGGTAGCAAGAGAAGCCCAAGTGAATATTTTCGGCCATGGCTGATTTAAGTAGAGAGTTTCACCGACAGCAACAAATATTGGGACTGCTGAGCGAAACACAATGAAGGTGTCAACATTAGCATGGAGGAGGAGTTCACTGTTCGTGAAGAGAGAGAGGTAGAATATGACAGCAGCAGGCAAGAATCTCCACAGAGTCAGGAGCTCAAGTCGGTCATGCTCTACGAGCTTTAACCAGCCACATAGCAGCACGCTGAATGCACTGGTGAAGTATTGTAAGGCAGTCAAGGCACCTGGGTAAGGGAAATTCATTATTGCCCATTTGTTTATTATGGACAGAAGTGATGCTGAGATGCAATACCCAGCAGCTACTCCATAAACTGATGCTTGCTGTACCCAGTTTTGAAGTGTGTCGTGCAAAAACATGCTGTTATGGGTTGTTGTTAATGCATCTTTGCTGGTTATCCCGCTGGCATCATTGTTTGGAGTATTTGAATCAGCTGCCATCTGCAATGGAAAGCAGTTGAACTCAATAAATCAAAAGAACAAATTACAAAATCATGTTATGTAACTTGTGGTTTCCACACGATAATTTTCTTCTTCCAGAGTCTTCAAACATAGTTCAACTTAGCCATAAAGTTATAGAAGAAAACAAAAAGGTACTTAATGTGATTCAAGAAAATTTGCAGGTAATTATTCGAAGGGAATACTGAGTACACCCTTTCTTGAAAAGTTGAAGTTGATTTACAGTGTCATGCAACCCAACCCAAAGGTTTCCCATTTACTAGGCACCAGAAGATTTTAAAAAGAAGAAAGAAAATGCAGAAAACTAAGGCTGTTTGGCTGCATGAAATTGAAATTCCATGTATACAATTTATAGAATTGGGACTAATGAAATCGACCACTGCTTCCGGGTTAGATATGTTTTGAATACTATTTATCAAATGTCTATTGTTTGGTTACTACAAGTTTGTAAATTACACTTAGTACTGATTCTATAGAATGATTGCCCTAACAAATCCGACCTCTACAACTTGGGAATTGATACACTCATTATTGAGAACGAATTCCAGGTCACCATTTTTAGGAGATAAGTAGCATACCCAGTACACCATGAAATTCAAACAATAGTCTTAAAGCTTAACATTATGGATTAGCCACTTATTTAGCAATAATATATTTGGTTAACAATAGGGACTAAACATCACCATAACTAATGAAGAGAGTAAAATTTTGGTTCTAATCAATCAGAGAGATCTAAAAGAGAGGAGGTGGTGACTAGAGCTTCTAAGAGAGAGAGGTGCCAGATATTCTGATTAAAGAAATTGGCGGAGGGAGGGAGGGGGAGAGTTTTTGGTTATGGGGAGAACTGAGATCAGGAAAGAGATCTCAATAAAGAGAGGGAAGTCTAAGTGGGGGGTGTTCTTGGGTTCTGGTCAGGTTTATGAAAAAGGACTGTTCTCTTCTTGTTCAAGTCGGTCAGGTTTGGGGTTTGGGTCAAGTTTGTGTTGGGTTTTATGAAAAAAAGGTGGAGTCTAGGTGTTAAAACTGCCCTGATGAATCTGCCTGACCCGTTTATAGGTGGAGAAGCCAAGGTTTCAAATGTCGGCCGACATGTCTGACATGTCGGCTAATATGCCGGTTTAAGGGCTTGAGCGACACGACATGATCGTTTTTAACTCATATGTCTGTTTTTAGGACCAAATCGGAAATATTGGGGTCATATCGAGCATATCAGCCGATTTTTCACCTTTGAAAAATTGGCCAATATGACCCTTTTTTTAGATCTATTTTTTGTTATCGGGTTTGGGTTTAATGATAAAAACTCAAACCCGTTTGACCCGTTCTCATGTTTAAGGGTTTCTTATTAACCCAATAGAAAGAAAAGAGAAAAATTAGGGTTGCAGCGAACTTGAGAACCCATCACTCCTTTCGTGAACGACGACGCCCTTCCCCCACCTCCATCTCGGCCCCCCGTCGTCCATCTCCCGTTGCGCCCCGAAATCCGAACCCCAACCGAACCCGAGAGCAACAAGGTATCCCATCGTCAGGATAAAAGGAAGAGGGTGGTCGATGACTCATCCGAAGGACCGCGAGCAGAAGAAGAAGAAGAGTACTGGCACTGTCTCCCTATGACGTCGGAATCCACCCATCACTGGCGCCGCCTCTAGAATTTATAAAGTGTGCTTATATTGAATTTAGGAATGCTTAGATTACATTTAGGACATGATATTATACATATGCGCACCACCCGATATGACAATTCAATATTTAGTCCATGTCCCCCGATATATCCCCGATTTCCGCTATCCGACATGGATTTCAACCGTCCGACATGAATTAGACATTCGACATTTGAAACCTTAGGAGAAGGGGTTGCATCTGCCTATGTTGATTTTTTTAACATTAGTACAGGGCTACATGCTATGGATTTGGTGTCTGTTCCAAAGCTTATGAACTATATAACCTTGAACTTTTTTTTTCATTTCTCATACCATCAATTTACCCAAAAATACCTTCTTCAACAATTACCACATCTCATCCTAGTCTCCTAGATAGCGTTTGTCTTCATCTATACATTATCAGAAGATGTCAACTGAACATTATCAAGTTATGGCAGTCAAACTTCAGTAACTGACATGGACTGCTAAACAAAATAAGCATTAATATAATATGATCATTACATAAATAAAGCACACATAATATGATCATTATATAAATAACGCACACACAAGTACGATAGTACATTAACAATTAGTTGTTTTTTCGACAAATTTTAAAAAATAGTGTCTGTTTAGTAATATTATACAGGCTAAATTTCAAGTTAAAGAGTTATTAGTAAAAGAAAAACAAGTATATGCATATCTCAAGTGAAGGAGGCAGCCGAATCAAATTGAGGGGAAAAAATCACACTCTACAATACAGAAAAAGAGGAAAAATACACAGAAAAAGAAGAAAATTAGCAGGACTTTAACTGGTTTTTTACAATATGAAACAATCTTTAGTTTATACCTCCGCTTCTGTTCTCTAGGAGACACAGTTTTCCTGAATCTTTACTAAAGCCGAAGCCTCTCAATTTTCGGATACGCTAGTATCAGCAAAAGAAATGTATATATAAGCTTTCTGGTTTACATCAGTTATTATTTTTTATCATGAATCAGATGATATCACTCCCAAAAAGTGCACAAGCCAAATAAACATTCAACAAATCGCACTTGACACTATTGTACAGAAGGCGCTTATTGAGTTTGCAAGTTAAAAACAAAACAGTGAGGTACCTCTGTGAAGTGCAAGCCCATATTGACTGCATCATATCCATTGCAGAAGTAACATATAAGAATTATTTTTTCCAAGGCGAAATTGCTTTAATTTTGAGAGAAAAAGAATCCTGATATTAACTTGTCTTCTTCCCTTTTCCTCATGGCTTCACATATCAACAAATTCCTGGGTTTTCTAAGTCTAGGCCATTTTGATGATTGAACGAGATGATTTCCCCCACTGCCAATTGTCTTGCCAGTTTCAGTAGGGGACAACATTTGGCACATAAATAAATTTTTATTTTCAGTTATTGTATACTGAGTAACTGAGTTACTACATAAAGACACCCAAATTATGGTGAGAAAAGGGCTTAAATGATAATTAGTGATACGAGTCACCGTGCGAGCACTTTTGATTGCGGAATTATCAAAGATGTCTTTGTGAAGAAAATAGCAAACCACAAGAACAATTAAATATGGCGAAGGAAAATACATTCTCTAGATTATGAAGAACAATAGATTACAAATCTCTTTCCTCACAATCTCTCTAGAATAAAGAACAACATCTCTATCCCCCCCTCCCCCAAACCGCTCTCAATAGGATTTGTTTAAATATAGACCCTAAAACCAAAACAGACTAGGCCCAATAACCTGCTATCGGTCAACTGATGAAGGCTCATCAGTCGACTGATAGTTCTTCATCGGTCGACTGATGAACCATCATCAGTCGACTGTCCAGTGCGACGATTTCTAACCATGTAGTGTGTATGTTATCGGTCGACCGAACATCACTGTCGGTTGACCGACCAGAGGGGTTCACCCACGCTTCTATTCTCAAACTACCATAAGAATCATCTATCCTCAAGCTTCTATGAGGATCGCTAAGTTCCCGAAGCAGAGAAGGTACACCCGTATCAACTAGTGATTATTATTGTACATGAGGATAATGATGACATAATATTCGATCACACAAAGAAAAGCTAGAGTTTTCATTAGACAAAAAAAGCAAGTACTCTGCGAGAAAAAATTAGCTGAAATGGGTAATAATTCAGTACAGAACCACAATGTTTTTGGTAAAAATTATCACTAACCTAATTGAACTTATCAAGATACTTTTTCCAGATAAAATAACAAGTGAAAACTTAACCTAGCTTTGATCATCTCAGCATAAATGAAAATGCATGGGATAAAAAAAACGAAGGGGCAAAGGAGGGCTTTGAGTTCATTACCTGATGATTAAACCCTCAATTCTCGATTGTAAATGAAATCAATCCGCCATTAGAAGAAATTTCAATCTCGTGCACACTAATTAAGCTAATCTATGAAGTGAGACTCTGGAGCGGCGGCGGCTGAATCTGAGCTTGTTGACGGAGGGCGGTAAGGCTGGACTCTGGAGCGGCGGCGGAGACGGAGTATGGATCCTCTTTTGAGGAAATATTGCTTGGATCACAGCGGTGACGGAGGCAGAGCAACCGGAGAAGGATACGGAGACGGAGTGCGTTGACGGAGGGCGTAGGGCTGGACTTCTGCAGCGGGCGCCGAGTATGGTCTGCAGGTTGGAAAAGATTTGGAGAATGGAGTTTAGCAAAAACTCAATCCGTTTAAGTATAGGGGCTGTTTGGTTGTAAAAGTTTTACACGGCCTCCAAAAGTTTAAGTATAGGGGCTGTTTGGTTGTAAAAGTTTTACACGTCCTTCACATTAGATTTTTTTCATGGCAACGTACTATATAAGCTTTCCGTATTTTTTTTTTGTATATTTGGTTCGCTAGGGTTGAACAAGGAAAACTCGGTGAAAATCACCGTAAAATCAGATTTTTTTTTCTCTCCCCAAATTCCTTTCTCAACCTCATGAAATCGACGAAAACTGCAGTCACGTCGGCTTTTTGCCATATAAACAAAAGTTTTCTCTTTTTTTTCCATGCGAACCAAACATAAGAAAAATAAATATATTGGTTTTCTACCATTTTTTTTGTGCGAACCAAAGCGAAACAATTTATTTCTTGGAAAAGTTTAAAAAACTCAAAACTTGTGTTTTTGTACATGAAAATACATTTCCCTATATCTAGGAAACGAACCAAACAACCCCATATAGTAAAAAATTTCAATTATCCTATCATATCCTATTTGATATGTTTATAAGCTAAGATTCTATTTAAGTATATAGTAAAAATTATTATTTTTAAAATTTTAAAAGTAGGAGTTTAGCAAAAACTTTTCATGGATAAGAATAACCCTAATCTGTTTAGATATTACAGTATCCTAATTAACTCTAATTAATAAGTATAAGTTTTAATTATTCTAATCATATCCTAATTACTATGCATATAAGATATTTTATTTCAAAATATTAAAAAATTAAAAATTATAATAAAAATTATATTAAGTTATAGATAATTGTTCAACATCCACATTCAATAACTTCTCCAAGAATTACAAAATAGAAAATCTAAGGTCTTACAAAATTTATTTAGGATTTTTCAAGAAACCACCCGTAACTTAGACCCTATTACATGTTAACACCCTTAGTTACTCAAGTTTCAGAAAATCACCCCTAACAACCATTGATTAACATAGAACTTTCCACCCAATTTTCTATTCTAAAATTAATACTTTGATGGTTTTCCCTAAAAAGTTTAATTTGTTAAATTTGGGTATCAAAATTAAATTTTGTACTTTCTAACTTTGGCAATTAAAATTAAATTATATTAAAATTTAGTATATCAAGAAAATATTTTATTTAACTTGCAGCAAAGTTAAATTTTGTTAAACTTTGAGGTAATTTTTAGAAAAAATTATGGTGTCAAAAGAAAAATTATGCAGACGCTAAATTATTTTTGGGCAAAGAAATATTTTGTATTATCAAAGTTAAAATAAAAAATAATTTGGAATATTTAACTCTAATAGCTGAAGTTCAACAAATTTAAAAATGTGTAGGGGTAAAATATTAAAACAAGATATGTTGGATTGAGAGTTGGATGGAAAAGTGCATAAGTGGTTCGATGTTCATAGAATGGTAAATACGAGTGACTATATAAAATTTGAGTAATTAAGGATGGTAATGTGAAATATGGCCTAAGTTAGGAGTGGAACCTTAAAAAACCATTTAGTTACAAGAAAAAAAACGTAGACAAAGGCTTAAAATTTGGACAATCTCAAATTTGAAATTTGATACCTAACATATAAAAAATAGAACACTTTATCTAATGATTCATTTCTTTATATTCAAATTCTAAAATAAAGCAAAGCTTAGATGATATTATGAATTATTATCACCTCCTAAATTATCTTCACAATTAAGGAGCCAAATATTTATATGTGAGTGACCCCTAATCCAAAGAACGTAGAACTTACTCAACTCATAGAAATACTAAAAAATCTTACACAATTTTAATATTTTTACAATAACCATACTCCCTTTAAAAGTGGAGTTAGAAAAAACTTTCCATAGACAAGACTACCCTTAATCCTCTTAGATATTACATTATTATTCTAACCTATTTTATCGTAATTAACTCTAATTATTAAGTATAATTTTCAATTATCCTATCATATACTAATTGATATGTACATAAGTTAAGATTTTATTTAAGTATATTAAAAAAGAATTTAAAATTTAAAATAGGAGTTTAGGAAAAACTTTCCATGGACAAAAATACTCCTAATCCATTTAGATATTATATTGTTCTAACCTATATTATCCTAATTAACTCAAATTAATAAGTATAAGTTTCAATTATCTTGTCATATCCTAATTAATTTTCATATAAGCTATTTTATTTAAGTATATTAAAAATTATTATTTTTAAAATTATAATAAAAATTATATTAAGTTATAGATAATTGTTCAACATCCACATTTAACCACTTCTCCAAAAATTACAAAATAGAAAATCTAAGAACTTACAAAGTTTATTTAGGGTTTCTTTTAAGAAATGACCCGTAACCTAGACCCTATAACGTGTTACCACTCTTACTATTCAAATTTTAGAAAACCAACCCTAACCACCATTTCATTAACATAGAACCGCTCATTCCCTTTTCCACCAAAAATTCTATCTAAAAATTAATATTTTCATGGCCCCAAAGGTTTAATTTGTTAAATTTGGGTACCCAACTTAAATTTTGTACTATTTAACTTTGGCAATCAAAAATTAAATTTTATTAAAATTTAGTATATCAAGATCATATCTTGTTGAACTTGTAGCAAAAATACAATTTTATTGAACTTTGAGGTATTGTTTTAGCAAAAAATAATTATGGTATCAAAGGAAAAATTATGTAAACTCTGAATTATTTTTGGGCAAAGAAATATTTTGTATATCAAAGTTAAAATGAAATCATACTCCTTTAAAAGTGGAAGTTAAGGAAAAAGCTTTCCATAGAAAAAAAATACCCCAAATCCTTTTCGATATTACATTATTAATTATTTTAATCTATCTTTTCCTAATAAAGTAATTAATAACTATAATTTTCAATTATCCGATCATATCCTAATTGATATGTATATAAGCTAAGATTTTATTTAAGTAAATTAAAAATTATTATTTTTAAATTTTAAAATTAGGAGTTCATAAAAAACTTTACATGGAGAAATATACCCCCAATCCGTTTAGATATTACATTAACCTAACCTATCTAATCCTAATTAACTCTAATTAATAAGTATAAGTTTCAATTATCATGTCATATCCTAATTAATACGTATATAATTTATTTTATTTAAGTATAAAAAAATTATTATTATTTAAAATTAAATTAAGTTATAGATAATTGTTCAACATCCATATTCAACCATTTCTCCAAAAATTATGAAATAGAAAATCTAGGAACTTATAAAATTTATTTAGGTTTTTTCATGAAACCACCCGTAACTTAGACCCTATTGTATGTGACCACCCTTAATTACTCAAGTTTCGAAAAACCACCCCTAACCACCATTTCATTATTATAGAACCGCTCATGCCCTTTTCCACCTAATTTTCTGTCTAAAAATTAATACTTTGATGGTTTTACCAATAAAGGTTAAATTTGTTAAATTGGCTATCAAAATTAAACTTTGTACTTTTTAAACTTTGTGATAATCACATTTTTTATTACATTTATACACCCTCATTATCTATTTTATTTAAATAAAATTGTCACTAATAAAAGTGTTTTATCTTAATTTGTAGGTTAGTTAAGTATTAATCAATAAAAGCCCAAAAGATCAAACTCGTTGATATTCTACCATTTATTGAAGCCTAAATATAAAGACAAAAGAAGGCCAAATAAAGCTCAAGGATCCATGAAGAAATCGGGTCAAGAAATCACAAAAAAATTAATCTATTACAAACCAAACGGTCAGCCAACCGATTGGCCAATCGGTCGGCCAACCGATTTTCCAATCGATCGGCCAACCGATTTGCCAATTGGTCAGCCAACAGATTGGCCAACCGATTGGTTCGCAACAGAAATTATTTTATGGCTGTGATTTATTCTTGATCTATAATAAAAATGCAAGGGTTCTCATTCATTGTTGTAGGCTATAAATAGGGAGTAGAGGCTGAGGGGTTTGAGTGTGAAAAAGTTTATAAAACTCCATTTGGAATGGAGAGTTACTCTTAATTAAGAAGATCTTTTAAAAATTATAACTTTGTTGTAATTAATAAAATAATTTTTATCACCTCTTCATATTTTCTTTTCTTCTCTTTGTTTGATGATGAAAATGATGATGAGATGAAGATGAAAATTGAGATGAAGATTTGCTTTCATCAAGAGGGTAGAACCCTCTTGAAATGTAAATTTTCTCTGTTATCTTTTAATTTTCTTATAATATTTTTTCCTTATTTTAGATATTCAAGAGGTGAGAACCCTCTTGAATTAGATTTATTTTCATGCATTGTAGAGTAGATTTAATTTCCTGTCTTTATTTTCTTACAATTATTTTATAGTATAGATTTATTTTCTTGCATAGTTTAGATTTTATTTCCTTGCACTATTCACCAAGATGCTAGAACCTACTTTGGAATTAGTTTTTATTTTAGTTCATTCTTTTCCTTTCATCCTCTCACACTTAGAGGCTAGAACCCTCTTTGAAGTTAGTTTTTATTTTTATTATCTCCCTTTTATTTCTTTATTTTTATTTTCTAAGATGTGAAACTAATTCTTGTAAGAATTCTAGAATTGCATGAAACTAGTTTAATTTCTTTTATAAATTATAAATTACTCTTTTGTGCTTAAATTGATCATGTTTAGGACAAGCAACTAGAGAACTAATTGTAGGAGAAATTCAAAAATTTTATCTAGTTGTTGTTCTTTTCATGAATGTTAATTTTACTTAAATGATAATTTAATAGGTTATGCTTTTCTTAAGTGGTTTGATAGTCTATACTTAATAAATCTAAAGTAAAATATAATAAAAAGAGAATGATTCATAATTTATAATTGAAACTGACTAGTGAATTCAATTCTAGATTCATCATATCTGTAATTGAATCCTTTATTTTTTTACTTTCTTGATTTTCCTCTTTATTCTTGATTTTTCTCTTATTTGATT